TTACACCTGATGCCCTATATTAATGGTGCATTGTGTACCTTTTCGAGTAAAGGGTTGGCTACCTGCTTGTCTTGATGAAGATGGTATTAATTTGTCTGAAATATTCCACAGTGTGGCATTAAACTTGTCCATCTACCATTCTTTGATTATGGGTGTTTTTATTGCTTAAAGAACATGCATACCTACAGTCAGCAGTCCCTCCTCTGACTGGTATCTTGGTCTTGTGGCATCTCCTGCTTGTTTCCATGGAGATACTTAAGTTTAATACCATACTGTGAAACATTCCAAGTAATTATTAAAATGTAGGCTGACCCTGCACCAGGAAAGTGATATAGTGCACCTTTAACAATATATCCTTTTCCATTTATCCAGACATGGGACTGGCAAAAAGAGTAAACTGGCCTCTTAGCTCTTGTAACTACATTAAGTTTAATAAGTCAGTGAGTTTTAGGTGACGCATATGCAGGTCCGGTTCAATTCAATCTCCAGCACAAGCGGATATGCATAAAGAATACACAAGAAGCTTTATTTGAACACTTTAATGGGATGAGATAATTGCACAAAACTACACAGTTATCTTAAAGGTTGAGTCTGGATGAATTTGTAGTAAATTTAAATGATATAATGGCCCATGAAAAAAAAACAACATATCGGTTGATCTTTAGTTTGCAGCCCTTCCACGGTCACAAGCGGGGAAACGGTCAGCAGGAAGCTTGATGACCTACAAAAATGAGTCTGAGGAAATGAGCAATCTAACATGTCATATGCAGTTTAACCTCCTCTTCTTTAGTTACAACGGTAAAACCTACGAGAACGACATCGCTCTGGTGGAGTTGCAGAAGCTCCCGTTTAAAGAGAGGTGTTTCAGAGAGAACCCGGCGGTGCGCTCCGTGTGTGTGCCCTGGACCCCTCACCTGTTCCAGCCCAACCACACCTGCAGCATCTCAGGCTGGGGCCGCACCGCAGGTACCACACACAAGACGACACACCGGAGATAAAGGATTTTTGCATTTTTAAGCTTTATTTATTTTCTCTTGGTCAAAAATGCAGAATAAGATGCTTTACACAACAGAATCTCCAAACACCCTCAGGAGGCATTTGGTGTGATACCAAGTAATACTTAAAGTATCGAACAATCCCAAAACCTGACTTTTGAGCAGGGATGCCTCTTAACAGATCTGACTTGTAACTCTATGGTGAGTATGTATATATGTATATCTAAATATCTGTATTTTTCCAGAGGGTAAAGCGGCTAGGGTCCTGCTATGGGCGAATGTCTCCCTGATTCCTAATTGTGAGCAGCATTATAAAGATCGCTTCAAAGCAGGAATGATGTGTGCAGGTGAGACCATTTTGAAAATCCTTAAATATCTATGTCAAACAGAAGCAGAACAAAACTTAGGACCTGTATCTGATCTTTTAATGACAGTCTGAACGACACAGATCAGATTTTTTCAAATGTGACCCAGACTACTTGGATATGTGCTCCTGAAACCGACACATATCTGATCTTCTGACATGCGACTGTATTCTGTATTCTGCTGTATTCAGGCCAAGTCTGGAGGGGCCTTATTGGAACTGGGCAGTTTTTTAAATGATTGCCAAAGAAATGGCCAAGCACAACTACAGGCGGCCTGGCTCCAATGTCAACAAAAAATAAAGAGCCTAAACACTCAGGCACACAAAGCGGCCATGGACGTGTAACCTGTCCATTTTACAAAGAACTGGACTGTATTTTGGGAGACTTGCCCAACGTTTAGGCTACTTCTGTAGCAATGCTCGCTCTCGCTTCTGGGGCATTTAAAGTTCACCCTGGAGATCACATACAAATCATGTTTAATTGGAAATGAGAACGACCCCCCCCCCCAAAAAAAAAAAAAAATAAATCTGAATTAAGCATTAAGCCCTTCAGTCTGAATGTAGCCTTAGATAGAGCATTATAACACGGTTACAAGCGCAAAAAAGTTCAGTACTGAATGATGGAATGAAGATGGAACCCAGTTTTGCCCAAAATGGTCTCTTAAAGGGCCAGTATTATGCTATTTTCTGATCTGTGTTTTGCCCTTATATCTATGATGGTGATGTCATATGGTAATACTTTATGTACCAGACTAATATGGATCATTTTAGACACACTAATAGTAAAAGAAATATTTGTGAATGAAACAAAACACAACTCCAGGTATATGTTTGAGGAGGTAACAGCATTCTAACATGGCTTAAAGCTCACAAGAGTCAGCTTTGTGTAATATAGGACATGTTTAAACTGTTTGTTGTCACAGGGGATTTGAATGGCTCTGTGGACTCGTGCCAGGGGGACAGTGGGGGGCCCCTGGTGTGTGAAGATGAGCTGGGCGTGTCCTACCTGTGGGGCATTGTGAGCTGGGGAGACAAGTGTGGCGAGCCGGGCTTCCCTGGAGTCTACACACTGGTAAAAGGACGGAGCAGTGGAAATTGCTTGTCAAAAGTTTCTGCCTGGGACTGTTTAAAGATTTTTATTGGAGGCTCCACCACCTGCTTGTCTTCATGGAGGTGTTATTGTTTTGTCTAGAATGTTCCACAGTATAGATTAAACCTGTCTGTCAGGAAGGAGACAAGCAGGTTACAGCACTACGCTACATTACAGGTCAGATCTGTGGAGCATCGCCCCTATTCACAGAAAGAGTGATTGTATTTTGGAGCAATAGAAACACATGCAATAATAAATGTTAGCTGTGTATGTTTAATGTCATACCAAGGAACATTCCAGGCAAAGCAATAACATCCATGGAGACAAGCAGGTAGTGGATCCTCCATCAGAAAAGTGACGCAGTGCACCTTTAAGCATCAGGTTAATTTGTTTTGGGTCTAATGGAGCTTTATAAACTTTATAATGTAATAAGTAGATTTAATGTTCAGTTCTGCTTTAATACCGGTGGAGGGCATATAAAAGTCATAATTATGAGTTTTAAAGTTGACTTTGAATCTGCCCTTGCCATACAGGCACATGGGTATTTTTCCTGGAGAAGCCATCCTCTGGAGAGTTCAGGACAGCTTCATTCTCCACAAAGCTTCATTTGCTTGTTAATGAAGTGAATGATGTAAAAAGACAAAAATGAAAGAGATATCCACACAAATCCCATATGAATGACTATGTGCAAAGTGTCCATCTCTGTTAACTGAAAACTGTGACATTTTGATGCTATGTGAAGTGAATTAGCAGCAACTACCACCGCGGCAGCTGTGCCCAATGCAATAATACAGTAAAAACTGACCACTTTTTTACACCCTCACACTGGTAAGAAATATGCCATAAAAAGTGTCATCACATGTGCATCTACACATGTGCTCTACATGTTGAAATGTCCATGCGGCCAAGCTTATATTGGCAAGACCACAAGAAAACTCAAACAAAGAATAAGTGAGCACAAGATCTCCATCAGAAGGAAAGACCGGGACTATCCAATAGCAGTACACTTTAATGATCAGAGACACGATATTAGTTCTTTCCGTTTCTGTGGCATTGAGCATGTCCTCCCTCCAATCAGCTCAGAGGAGGGGACCTTGACCGGACACCTAAACAATGGGAAGCATTTTGGATTCATACTCTCCAAACTTTAGCTCCAAAAGGACTCGATGATGATTTCAATCTTAGCATTTTTTTTGTAGGCATTTGTTATATCATGAAGTCTCTCTCGTTTTGGAGTGAGCTATATTTTAAGATCCATTGATATATATATATATATATATATATATATATATATATATATATATATATATATAGATGTGTATATGGCACGACAGCATTATTTTATAGTTGGGTGAATATACACTATGTCTATATGTATCCAGATATTCTTCTTATTTTTCTATTATTATTCAATGATTTTTCTACTAATGATTAATATTCCATTATTATTATCATTATACTGTATGTTGATTGTCTTTGTTTTTTGAATTATGGGATTTTGGTACACTGTTTCTTTATGACCTGTCACCCTTGGGTGCTTGCCACACCCTATTTAAGATGGCCACCTGAGCTTTCATTCTGTTTGCTTGACGAAGGCCTAGTGCTGAAACGTTGCACCGTTTGTCCTGATAAATCTCACAATTTACAAATAAGAGTGTGCGAGATTTTTCTCTGTGTTCTTGGGCTGCTCCCTCTCCTCCAATGCACACATTTCTAGTAATTGATGTGCAAAGTTCAAATTTTTTTCTGAAGTGAATTAGTAAAATAACTAACATTTTCCTTGTATTGGGTTTATACATTGCTTCTCCAGAAAAGTGGTCAAGTGGTCGTACCAGCCCGTCTACTTACATGGCAGGTTCAGAGTCAGTTTTAAAAAACTCCTAATTATGACTTGAAAATGTATAATTATGAGTTTTAAAAACACATAATTTTATCTTCTTGTGAGGCTTTTAGTTTTTATTTTTTGGCAGAAATGGGCTTCCATGATGTCTGTTAAAGTATCAATAGTGAGTTCTTGGTTCTAGTCATTAACATAAACTGCTGTTTTTGTTCTTGTTTCCAGGTGGCTCATTTCTACGAGTGGATCCGAATTCACACTGGATGGCCGCTTGTCACACAATATAATTCTTAGTCCTCATGTTTACATTTTTCCAACATTGTACGACACCAAATAAAATAGAACTGGTTAAAAAAAAAAGGTTTTACTTGTTTGTGTATTGGGTAGAATAATAATTTCACAATGTGTCTTGATATTTTCTGTTTTACCTCAATGGAGAAATGTGGAGCAGAATTTAATCCTACTTGTCCTCGTGCTCTTTAAGGTTTTAGAGTCAAAGATGAGCGATCACTCAAGCAAGCAGTGAATTGGTTATTAAATGTTTCAGTAATCCTTTATTATTAGTCTGTCTAGATCTCCAAAGCTCAAGATGTTCTGATCCACCTTGTGATGTCATTTGGTAGTAGTTTAGTAGATGTAATTTCTTAATTTCATTAAAAAAAACAAACAAACAAAAAAACAAAACAAAACAAAAAAACACTGAATATAAAAAGCTTTCAATCAAATCATTTTATTTATAGGAAACTCTGTAACATAAGAAATCTGTCCCAACCCCACATTCAAAGATACAATTTTAACATAATACTTCTGAATCTTAAAATTACAGAGACACATCATAACATAAAGTAACTCAGATTTGGATGCTCTAAACTTATTTATTTCCATGGCGACAAGCAACTTGGCCAACTTACAGGTCAGATCTGTGGAGAGATGAGCCCACTCACAGAAAGATTGCATGTTTCTCAAGGGATTTTTGAGCTAAAGATACAAATGCAGTGCTAGGTAAATATGTTTAATGGCATACTGTGGAACATTTTAGTCAAAGCAAAAACAACAGCAACAGCATTCATGATTTAAACATGTGAAATAAACAAAAAACAAAGAGTTGTGTTTAATTAATTAACAAATTTATACATTATTAAAAACTAGTGTTGTCACGATAATACTAAGGAATAGACTTGATACTCAATACCAATTCCAATACCACAATGATAATAAAAACACTCTTCTTTAGGCAATTGAATGCCATTTTCAACATTAAATGTAGTAGTAGTAGTACTTTTTCTATTCCCATGTACTACTAGCTTTTGTATCGACTAAATGGTCACATTTTTACACAGCACTTTTCCATCTTCAGGGCACCCAAAGTGTTTTACAACACGGAACCACTCACCCATTCACACGCATGAACACAGGAGCCCACACATCACAATATAATATAATAACAAAGAGCAAAAAGTATAAATGGTAATAATAAATTCTAAATATGTAGCCAAAAAGAAAGCAAGAGACAGGTGTCAACTAAAACATAATTATTTAAATGTAAATGTACAAGTCAAAATAAAATAAGTAATAAAATATACAATCTTAGCTATATACAAGAGGTCAAAGGAAGACAGTACAACAATGTTATGATGATTGACAGGATGTAGGGAGTATTATCTGTTACATAAGGGTGAGTTGTTGTACAGTTGTAGGGAGTATTATCTGTTACATAAAGGTGAGTTGTTGTACATCTGTATGGAGTATGGTATGACTGTAATCCTGTGTACTGCCGATTAGTATCAGATTTTTATGGTAGCCCATCTCCGTCAGTAAATAAAAAATAAAAGCCTCACAGAAAGTCATAACTATGACTTTTATACTTTTAAAACTAAAAATATAAAAAAAATTCTGACTTTCTATGAGGCTTTTTTTAAATTTACTGGTGGAAATGTGCTTCCATAAATTTTCAATTAAAAACTCCTTAAAGGGCCCATCTCATGTAAAATAACTCTTTTCACATTGTATCTTCTGCACATATACAAACACAATACTGGTTTCTTGGAGAAAGTCACAGACCAGGAACTATGAAAGGCCGACTATTGCTCCTCCCCCCGCCCGTCCTGAGAAAGCACAGGCTCCGCCCTCCAAACGTGACGTAGGCGACGAGTGAGCCGCCCTTCCTCCGCCCATCTCAGGGAGGGAGGGGGAGACAGACGTGCACCCTGATAGTGGTAGAAATAAACTTTTATTCATCATGGAGATACAGCGCGTTCAGCCGCATGTGTTGGACCCGGAATCAGACGAGGACTTTGAGGAGCACGAAGCTCAAGCACCACGTCCACATCAGCTGAACATTACTGATTGGTAAAGTTTTAATAAACACTAGTAGATCAACTTATTATATTGCGTACACTGCAGTGTAGAACAATACACTGAGGGGGGCAGGTGTGAAGCACTTTCTGCTATGTCAAACGCATCATAGGTGTATCTGCTGCGTCATCGTTGTAGCAGCTTTAGTTCATTGTCTCGTGGGAGGGTGGCAGAAATACGCTGCAAAAAAATGCCAAATCAATCTAAAAAACACTTTGGCGACATATACAAGGCCCACAGATCACTCTTAGAAGGTAGAAAGGACTGAAAAGTTGATTTTGCATGAGATGGGCCCTTTAAAGGAAATTGAGTAGACCGTTGTGAGCTTCCTCATTCATCTTTTTCATTCACGCAACACTACAGTGACTCCGCTTCCCTTTTGGGCGGCGCGCTCACCCTCCAAGGCATGCTCGGCAAATTCTGCACTAGCCACTCCCCCCAACTGCTCCCAGGACTCGCCCCTTTCTCCACCTCCCAGCCCCCGACCACCCAATCACATTTCTCCGTTTCCCCTCCCTCTTTTTCACCTTCCTCCCTCAAAATAACACTGTAACGCTTTTTAGACATGCCTGAGTTAGCTTCTCGGCTAACTGTGCATTCTGCTAGCACGTGTTTAGCTTCAATTTCTTCTTCTTTGCTAATTTCGTGATACACTGCCTCCTTGTACATTATTTTTTCAACATTTTGTGCTTCTTCTGTCCAGGTTTTTGGTCCTAAATTAACAAAACACTCAACTTGATTCACATCCTTAGATACAAAAAGCATAGTTTGATATTTTGCCTGTTTCTTGTCAATATCTCTACAATAACTCAACATTTTAACTTGCTCCTTGCCAGCTATGATACATTTTAATGACTTATAAACCCCTCTGTACCAAAAATACAACCTAAATGCAGTTACTAATGACGAAAAAGCGGAAACTACACAGAGAAACGCGCAACTTACAAAGAGCCAAAAGCAAAAAACGGTCCTAGCTTCAAGAGGGCTCGCACTGTCGCTACTTATGTTGTTGCTAATTATACGACCTTCATAAACTCCTGGAGGTGACATTGTAAAAGTTTCGGGGGTAACAAAGGTTGTCTGTTGTATTTCAGGTGGGATTGTTGTGGAAAAAGTTGTCGATATTGGAGAAGTTTGTGGCATAATAGTGAGGAGAGCTGTAGAAGTTGTCAATATTGGAGAAGTTTGTGGCATAGTAGTGGGGAGAGCTGTAGAAGTTGTCAATATTGGAGAAGTTTGTGGCATAGTAGTGGGGAGAGCTGTAGAAGTTGTCAATATTGGAGAAGTTTGTGGTGTAGTAGTGGGGAGAGCTGTCGAAGTTGTGGTAGGGAGTTCAGTTGTTAGCGGCACAGTCGTTCTTTTGACTCTTCGTCCATCCCCTCGCAGTGATCCCCAAATATCAGACCAGTCTACTGTGTAAGATTCGTATATTGTGACAATTTTGTAATAACCATGAGTCCAAACTGGAGTAGTGGGAACTGCAGCAGTAGTAGCAGCAGTAGCAGTAGTAGTAGTAGTAGGCTTAGGAGGAGTGGTAGTATCAAAAAAATGGCTTTGCTCAGTGGGAGTCAGTGGATTACAAAAGTCCGATTCTTCAAGTTTGATCACAGACTGACCTTTTAGAGACCGTGGACTGTCACAAATCTGAAAAAAAAAACATTGATGTATGTAAGGTGTATTTATTGTATTTTTTGGACTATAAGGTGCACCGGATTATAAGGTGCAATATCAATAATGTTGTATTCTCTTGTGTATTTTCATACATAAACCACACCGGATTATAAGGGGTATAACACTTGAGACTGATCCCTTAGCCCAGGCGTCCACGATCTATTGGAAGATCGTGGCGTAATTCGCCTGGCGTTGCCTCCCTGTCTTGGTGAATGTGGCTTATGAATGTGAATGTGATCGGATCGTTTAAGTTTGTTTTTTATTTCCTACAAGAACAACTCAAATATGCAATGAGTAATAATGTGTTTAATGCAGCTTTATGCACATTTGTTTACGTTTTACAGAGATGAAACTTAAAGCCACATGACACATTTGCATAAACTATAGGTGCTGAAAAATAGCTTGCTTCATGTGCATTGATGTGGTCATCTTTTGTTGGACTAAAGCACACGACTTACTCTGCGAGGGTCCTGACTACAGTAGCCGTAATGCTCAGACAATCCATCAAGCGGAGTGCCTTCGTAGCTTCATAGCGAGTCATACTGAAACATTTTGCGAGATTTTTGAGCACAGTGTACCACATAAAATCGATTCATCAGTAAGCACAACCAGAATTAATACATAGGGTGCACTGTTGATTTTTGAGAAAATGAGAGGATTTTAAGTGTGCCTTATAGTCTGAAAAATACAGTATTTGTAGTGAGCACTGGACTATATTAAACAGCCCAATGTTACGCTATTTTATAAAAATGTTATAATGTTGTTTCCTCATCACAAACAGACCTGGAGTTGTGTTTTGTTTTGTTCACACGTTCAACATTGCATATTTAGACTGAGTTCTTCTCTTAAACAGAAAACACTCTGTTCCACCTCATGTAGTAACACAGGACGTGCTCCACTGTGTTTTTAAACTCCGTGCACCTTCACTAGAACCATTTAGATAATTTCAGTCCTGGAATTGCCAATCTCTACTGAACAAAAGGTTAAAAAAAAATAGCTGCTGATGTGAAAACTACCACTTCATGATATCACAAGTTGAAACAGAGCATTTTGAGCTTTGGAGATGTAGAATGTGAATGAAACAAAACACAACTCCAGTTAGGTTTTTGAGGAGGAAACAACATTAGAACATATCTAAAAGTTCTCAAGAGTCAAATAATATGGGGCCTTTAAAAAAAATGTGTAAAAGCTGTAGATCTCACCACACTCTCTGCATCCGCCGAGATGATGGGTCCATCTTTCACATAAACGTTGTAATCGTACTCCTCCAGATACATGCGCAGGTAACCAAGGGAACAGGAGCAAGCCCACGGATTGGCCGAGAGGTACAGATAGGGCACCTCGTTCTTCTGGCTGAACCAGTTATCAGGCAGCACCTTGATCTGACATACATATATAAAAATACATAAAAGAGTCTTGTTTGGCGAAATGTATATTTATAACAGGTATTTATCCCACTAAATTAAAGGTGCATTGTGTAACTTTTCTAGTGGAGGGTTCATCAAATGCTTTTCTTCATGGAGATGTTATTGCTTTGTCTAGAATGTGTCACAGTATGGCATTACTCAGTGGCTGAGCATGAATTTCACACCTAGGCCTTCACTAGTGCCCGGTCTGAAACACTCCACTCCTCAATAACTATTTTATGGTTATAAAAGCATCTTATTGAACAGAAACACAGTATACAGAGCTGTGGAGATTCCGTGCACGGAGAAGTGAGGAGAGGCGGGGTGCGCGGTGCACAGAGAAGAAGTGAAGAGCGCTGGGGTGCTAAACCAGGACTAAACCAGAACTAAACCAGAACTGTTTGCCGGGACTGGCCCGAAGGTGCGCCCGCGTAGTCGGGTGACCGCAGACAGGACTCCGCTCAGTGCTGCGCGCCACATGGGGCTAAGTGCAGCTGTCGCCCGATCGTGCTTTGCAGACATGCTCTCGCGCTCTCTCTCTCTCAAGTCCAAGATTAGCCCTGGTGTAGTCCTGGTTTAGACTTGGTTTAGACCTGGTGTAGTCCTGGTTTAGTCCTGGTGTAGTCCTGGTTTAGACCTGGTTTAGTCCTGGTTCCGCTGCAGATGCATTTTGCTACTTTGGCTGGTTTGCTCTCTGACTGTCCAATCAGCGGCTCTGAATTCGGTGACGTCGTACACCTGATAAAGGCCCTGGCGATACCAAATCAAAATCTGATTGGTTGAAGCAACAGTTTCATGGACATTTAATTTGTGTTGGAGGGCCTGCAGAACGCACTGTGAAGGCCTCAGGGACACTTCTTTGACTTTGACTCTGCCTAGCAACAAGTGACAGCTGAAATGTGATTGGTCAAATGCTTTAATATGAAAATGCATGTGGGGAAGCAGCACAAGCAGCAGAAATGCTCTGAAAGGAAGCAAACAGAACATTTGGAATTATTTAATAATAATTAACATCAGTCTGTGATTCAGATATTTTTTTTTGGCCAGCAGAGAAGGACTTGCAGGCCCTGACGCTCCGCCACTGACATTACTATATAACTTGATCTGGTTTGGTCTCCATGAAGATAGAAAGGTTTTTTCTAGATCAAACCAGATCAATTTACAGGTCAGATCTGTGGAGAGGCGACCCCACTCACAGTCACAATGTCTGTTTTTATTGGTATTTTTGAGCTATAAAACCACCTGTAATTGAATACATGTTAGCAAGATCTGTTTAATGTCATACTGTGGAACATTCTAGGCAGAGAAATGACATATTCATAGAAACAAGAAGGCAATGGACCCCCAACCGAAAAATTACACAGTGCACCTTTAAGTCAAAATTAAAGAATGATAAAAACTGCAAAACTACAATCCTCCAATATAAAAGAGCTGTTTTTGTGCTTGCCTTGTTTCCTTCCAAATACAGCGTCTCTATGGCCTTCAGAGGGTGCATCATGCGCGGAGGGAGAGTTTGGACGTGGTTATTCGACAAATCCAAGATCTAAACAAAGTCAGAGTTAATTTAGTCAGCTAAAATTAAAAAGTGACATACTTTAATATTTTACTGCCATATTGTAAAGAGAGAGTATTATTAAATTGTTTATTTTTCTACCATGTTATAACCTTGTTTTCTCATCCAAAACATGCCTGAAGAGGTTTTAGATGTCATCCATGCACGTTTGAGTCATTTAGCGATCTCTTTAAGGCCCTATTCAAACCTTCCTTACTGTTCAGCTGTAAGATTTGCCCATGAATCTTTATGTTATAATTTAGACATTGGGTCAGTCCATATGAAATCAGCTGCCCTCCCCTATGAGCCATTACAGATTTGGCTGATTTTTTTTTTTTAATGTCTAAAATCACCAAATGAAAGAATCTCAAATTTTAGGTCAATCCCTTGAGTGAGGGGAGGACAGAATGTGAGATTGACAGGCGGATTGGTGCAGCTTCGGCAGTGATGCGGTCGCTGTATCGGACCGTTGTGGTGAAGATTTACCGGTCAGTCTTCGTTCCTACTCTCACCTATGGTCATGAGCTCTGGGTAATGACCGAAAGGACGAGATCGCGGATACAAGCGCTTGAAATGAGTTTCCTCCGCAGGGTGGCTGGGCGCTCCCTTAGAGATAGGGTGAGGAGCTCAGTCACACGGGAGGAGCTCGGAGTAGAGCCACTGCTCCTCCACGTCGAGAGGAGCCAGTTGAGGTGGCTCGGGCATCTGTTCCGGATGCCTCCTGGGCGCCTCCCTCGGGAGGTGTTCCGGGCATGTCAGGAGGACGCCCTGGGGAAGACCCAGGACACGCTGGAGGGACTATGTCTCCCGGCTGGTCTGGGAACGCCTCGGGGTCCCCCCGGAGGAGCTGGAGGACGTGTCTGGGGTGAGGGAAGTCTGGGAGTCCCTGCTTAGGCTGCTGTCCCCGCGACCCGGCCCCGGATAAGCGGACGGAAATAGATGGATGGATGGATCCCTTGAGTCATTCCTGAGTTATGGCCCATTGAAATTTTGGGGCCATGCTCACTTTTTCAGATGCCTTAACTTATTAAGTATGTTTGACCATAACTTTATAAAAAAATAGAGCTTGGATGGTAAAATGTGTATTATTGTAGATTCATAGATTATAGTAGTCATAGATTCTCAATCTGTTGTCAAATCTTGGGTATCTTTATTAAGGGGGGCACTGTGGGCCCTCAAAAATTTGGTTGCTGTTCAATTTTTTTTTGAGGACCAAGATCTATTTTACTCCAATCAGATATTTACAAATGAACTGTTGAACCTGAATATTTGAGAGAATGACCATTTCTGACAACAATCTCACACTTTTCTGAGCTTTCATGTGGATGGTGTAGAGTCCCAAATCTGGTCACAGATCAAATGTGATCTTTTTGGCCCCTTCTGTGGACCCTTGGTTTCCCATGTGGGCAAATTTTTACCAGAGAAACTTTGGCATATTCTGATTAGTTTAAAGTAATAAAAACATCTACTATTAACTTCCTTCATTTCAAACGGAATTTTTGAAAATGAGCTCTCACAGGTCGTTTTTGGTGGAGCTTAGGGACTTTTCCACCTGCTAGAAAACTTAAATTATCTTTAATAGACTTAAACACTATTTGCTTGTTTTAAGGGAAGACAATTGGAGATTATTTGTGGCTACATTGTTTGTGATGGTTTTGGTGGCACAGTAAATGGCTCGGCTGCAAGGGACAAGTCTTCAGACAACAGCAATCAAATATTGACCACACTCCAGATGTTTGAGTGGGTTTCACAAAACATAAAGAATGTAAATTATTATTATTTTTTTTTACAAGCTCTAAATAAAAAAGTGAGCATGGCCCCAAAATTTCAACGGGCCATAACTCAGGAATGACTCAAAGGAATGAGCTAAAATGTGAGATTCTTTCATTTGGTAATTTTGGAAATTTTTTGAAAGGTTTTCAGCCAAATCTGAGATGGCTCATAGGGGAGGGCGGCTGATTTCATATGGACTGACCCCATTTTAAATCACTATATTCATCTAAACAAGTCTGCTGAAAACGGTGCTGTTCAATGGGAGCTGACATTGCTGTAAATGTCATGACAACAACGCGCCAAATGCTGTGGGCCCCTCCTGTAGACACGTCACACTGGAGAAGAGCACTTTTTATATTTGGACCGAAACTTGTATCACTGATTAAGAAAATAAAATTGGAGAAGGAAGAAGAGAGCAGTGGGCGTGTACCATGAAGGTTAAAACAGAGGTTGTTTGGCAAAATAGCATCTCGAAAATAAGCGATTAAAGATGACTGAGACATGCATGAATCACTCCAGATACAACTTTAGAAGGTTAGTAAATGGTTAAAAAACTATAACATGGTTAGAAGTTCTGATAAGTTGATTTTACAGAATAAGTTTGCTAAACTGTATCAGGCACCTCGAGTTTACTGAGTCCAGAGAAAGACTGGTCCTCAAAGCTGGACTTCTAGAGAAGCAGTGATCAGGAAGCGCTCGGAGCTGATTGAAGCCCAGACGAAGCACTGCGAGGCTGGGCAGGATCGGAGCATCACTGTGGGTGAGGGAAGGAATCTGGATATGCAGGAGACAGGTTTAGAAGAGAGATCTCAATTCAGCAATTCAAACAACTTGTTCAAGAAACTCTGCCAAATCTTAGTATGCACACTATAGTATCTTGAGAGATTGGCGGTGGTTGGTCGGGCAGATGGTGCAGATTGTCAGCCATGCTTCTGTCAGTCTACTCCAGTATCTTACTACCACACTTTTATGGGTTTTTCATACGTGATAAGTGCAATAAAAAAATTTATAATTTGGTGTTTTGGTTCAAGATTATTATCCAATCAGAAAACAGAATGGGTTGCCAGTTTCAATGGGAAATTTCATTGGTTTAAAGCTAAAAAGCCTCTCTCTGATCCCTAAAACCCAGCACCTACACAATTATGAATCAGTGCTCATGCATGGTTTTATTATCAAATATTATTATCTCTAAACATGAGTTAACTATAAGAGAAAATAATAATATGCATAATATAAGTAGACCTGGTTTCTGCTGAGGTCGATCTCGTGGATCTCGGTGAAAACAGTGAAAGAGGTCCAGGACGGGTGTGAGAACTGGTTTTGAGGAAACAACAAAACCTGACAGAAAACAGAAAAATGACACAGGAAGCATTAGACACTTCGCTGGACTTTTATCAACAGGAAGTGGCCAAGAGCTGTCAAATCAATCTGCCCATACAAGGCAACAGGAAATGCTCCACTCTTCACAGATAAAATATGTGTATTCAAGTTTACAATATTTTATATTTCAAGGTATTTTCTGTAACTTTTCTGGTAGACATGTTTTTGTTTTGCCTGGAATGTTCCACAGTAATGTCATTAAACTTTTTATATTTTTCTTAATGGAGACAAGCTAGTGGTGCCATTAGCCCAAGTTGCAGGTCAGATCTGTGGAGAGGCAACTCCAATCACAATGAGAATGGCTGTTTTTAAGATATTTTGCTTGCAATTGAAAATAACTGAAATAAAATACAGTATTTTCTGCATTTTGGGCACTCTGGGTTATAGAATGGTCTATTTTCAAACTTTTTTCACAAATAAAATCACACCGGACTTTAAACGAATCACAACAGTTAGATGGGTCAGTGGGACTTTGTTTGTGGCGTTCACGGTGACTCTGGGCTTTGTTCAGTTGTGGCGTGTAGGGAGGGTGCTGTCTGGGACCGCTGGATTGTCGGCGTGTTTGCAGTGACTCAATTGTTCAGTTGTGTCTAGAAGTGGCACATTGCACTCGCTTTTTCGGTTCGTTCCTCCGTTCCGTTCCTCAGTCGCTGTCTGCTCCGTGCGTGTTTGCGTGCTTTACTGAAGTCGTGCTGGGACACCCGAGTGGATTCATGTATAGGGCGCTCTGGATTGTGGGGTGCACAGTCGTTTTTTGATGGGGTTGGAGGTCTAAGAACGCGCCTTATAGTGCGGAAAATACGGTAATTAATCTTGGCAATATAGTTGGCATTTCAGTCCAGGCAAAGGAATAGCATCTCCATGGAGACAAATGGGTAGTTCCACCTAAAAGCCCTCCAGCAAAAAAAAAACCCAAAAAACACTCAATGCACCTTTAAAGGTCTTAGATTGCACAAAATTGACTCTTGTGAGCTTTAAGCCATGTTAGAATGTTGCTACCTCAACAACCCTCAAAAGTTAGCAGCTATCTTTTATATTTTGTTTAGAAAAAAATTTAAATTCCAGGACTGAAATGGTCCAAATGATTCTAGTGAAAATGTATGGAGTTTAAAAACACAGTGAAGCCTGTATTACCATATGACATCACAAGGTGGAAGAGAGAAGAACTAAATCTGCAGGAGTTGTGTGTTAAACATTTGTGAATGAAATAAAACATAGGTCCAGGTTTGTTTGGGGGACGAAACAACATTTGAACATAGATCAGAAAATAGTGTAATATGAGCCCTTTTATAGTAGTAGTGCGTTTTCTGACCTTGGTTGTTGGTTCGATTCCCGATGGCACGTCTCTGTAACCTGCTGAGGTGCAGTTAATCAGTGGTCGGTGATCTTTGTCCCTGCCATCAACGCAACCCCTCACTGTTGTCTCCACGGCAACGGGAGCAAAAAACAAAAACGTGAGATGTAGAAGAGAGACGAGCGGAGAGACGGAGGAGAGGTGCATCATGGGTCAGAGTCTGGGTCAGGACTGGCTCTGAGAGAAAGAGGAGAAGAGAGAGACTCAACTGAAACAGGAAACTGAGAGTCCACTGATAACAGCATTACACTCTGTAATGTCTTTCTAAAACAGTGGAGTCAGTGATCACTCTGGCTTTGGAAGTACAATTTCCCATACTATTTTCCCATTGACTTTTCAAAAAAATTCAAATATTAAAGGTGCATTGTGTGCACCAATATTTAACTTTTCTTAGCTCTTTAAGAGTTCCAAGAGTCAATTTTGTGTAATACAAGAGCTTTAAGTGTCCTGCCCAAAGACACAACACCAGAATGTAGTGTGTTTATGTATTTATCTGAACCTTTTTGTTGAAAGAAAAAAACACCAGATACTCACTTGTTATTTTGATTATATCTTTAACTATTCAGAAACTGTCTCTATTCTTAAGGGTTAAATACTGTAAAAACAGAACTGTGAATTACATAAGTTACTCAAATATTTGATGTTATAATGAGAAAATATTTGAAAAAAAATTTAAATATAAATGATAACATTATTTTTCTACCAGGTACTGATCGGTTTGAAAGGGTGTAGTTTTTTGGATCCAGACAGCAGTGTGTGCCAACAGATTCTGTGCACAACTGGAGAACACAAGGGAATATGGATGTTGTTCTCAAGTTCAAGAGGAACAACTGAAGCACATATAGAAGTGATTAGACAGCCTGCAATAATTATTTGTTTATTCTATCTATTTATGTTTGTGTTTTTGCACTTGTTTCTTACGTGTGCAGAAGTGAAAAAGAAGTTATAGTTACAGTATACAATAACTTATTTATTCTAATTATTTGTTTGTGTATTTAGTTATTTCTTTGTAGAGTTGTGTTTGCAGACTAAAGTAAATATATACAGTATTTAAATGTATACAGTGTGCAGTACTTAGAGTTACTCTATTTGTGTTTTTTAAAGTTTTTTTTATTGGGTGTGCTTGTAGCGAGACTGAAGTATAAAAGAAGTTACATGGTGTGCAATACTTTTTGTGAAATATTTTTATATTTGTGTTTGTACTTAAGTATTTATTGATGCAATGTGCATAACCATCTGTTTTATTTGATTGTACTTTCATTATAATGTTTAGTGTTTGTTTGACAATAACTTGGTACCATTTTGAAAAAGTCAACTCACTGTACCATTGCTGATGTTCTGGTCCAAACTGTGCTGTGCTTTGTACACGTTAATGTCATTTTGAAGGGAGTATATACTGAGACACACAGGCCCAAATCCTGGATGGTTCACTGTGCATGTAGGTTGGCTGGGGTCTTCTTCCATTCTTGCTGTCACCTACCAAATATATGATCAATAACATGAGTGGGCATAACATACAGTAACTGAAAACTAGTTTTTGGAAAGCAAACACACCTTGGGGGTTTCTTAACAGCATCTGTTCTCCACCTGAAGACACGAAATAAATAAAATGAACTACAGCAATTGCAGACTTTAGCCAAAATGACAAGCTTGATTCGCTATAACATCACATTACATTTACACATTCAGTGAGGTGTGCACTTGTAAACACATTGTGTCATGGTAATAGCATAATCATGTATAAAGATATGCAATAAATATATACTCAGGACAACAAATGTAAAGTTGTATCAGGTCCTGACACAAAGTGCCATAGTTATTCCAGGAGTGAGGTGCTTAATGCTGAGGACACAGTCTACTTATATGTGTCAATCAGTGCTATTCTTTAAAGTTACTGTATGCAGGATTTGTGTGGCTCTGGATGAAATAAATCGAGGGGTTTCTTGTCAAACTGTTGTGGCCCTCTTTATTTTTAGTGTATCATTGTCCAGCATAGCATTAGATTTACAAAATGTTTATTACGTGGTTGTTAGCATATAACTTAATTTTGGTGCTAATCGCTACGTCAATGAACTATGCAAAAAACAATTCTACATGTGGCAATGTTTTGTATCGAGGCTCTGGTGTTACTCACGTGTAGTTGAGTGGTTGTAGGTCTCCAAAACACTCCTGGTATTTCATAGTTTGCGGTGATAGATGGCTAACGCTAAGCTAGCTCTCATTAAAAAACGAATTGGGGCTAACACTGGGTCTATACAGGTCTATTTACATGTCATCCAAATCGGTATCTTACATTTTACATGGATGTGTGTTTAGCACTTGTATTGTAGGCTATAGATGTTACGAGATCAGTGTTTTGGGGTGGAAAACAGGGCAACTTCCATTTTCATCCTTCAGTCTCTGGATGACTCCCTCCTCTGTGTTACGCTCCCTCAGCCCCCAGCGGTGCCTCCAAAATGTTGTGCCCTCTACTCCTACAGTGTGGGAGAGATACGTGGTTGCTTTTTGTAGACAATGAAGGACAGAGACGCAGTTCACGTCCTTACTCCATGACTTTATTTCAAAAAAAGAACGAACTTGTAAATATGTAATTGTACAATTTTTAGCATTTATACTTTTTGTCCCAAATGAATTATCTTTTAAATGTAACAGAATGATATAAATAAATCATGTTTTTAACAATATTTTAAATCATTGACTCACTTTTTTTTAATTTTTTTTTATCTGTTACATATGGTCTGTAAAACGCCAAGTCGCTTCCGTGCTTACGTCAGTGCGCACGTGCGTGCTGTTGTTATTTTTGTTGCTATGTGCGTTTTTTGAACATTGGAATCTTTACAAACTTTTCTCCAGACGAGAAACTGCACACCTAAACTCTCTCTGAATATTTTTACCTACACGAGCCGGATCTTTGGATTATTTCCAGCAGACTTGTACTGACCGCCCTCTCACTCGGACTACAAGACTTTTTTGGACGGGGAACGTGAGGTTTGTGAGTTTACATGTTCATATTTTAATCGCTTCGGGATTTTAAGATGTTACACAAAAAACAACCAATACTGTAGCAAATAACCCTTTTAACAATACCTAGATCATGATTACGACGAGGTTATTCAAAGAAATGTGCCCTTGTGCATTCATGCTTTCCTTTTAATGCAAAATTAAAAACAGAAGGCAACAGTCAGAGATGGTACTCATGTTAGCACACCCAGGCTACATCTAGGCTAACTTGTCTGCGCTCAACAAATACAATAGATACAATTGACCTTAAAATGTGACAAATTCACCGGATTGGTTTAGGATTCTGTAAGGGTTCAGCTCTAACTTAGTCCTGGTTTAGTCCTGGTTTAGTTCTGGTTTAGTCCTGTAGTGTAGTCATGACAGCCGGAGATGAGAGGCAGCTAAACGTCTGTCTGTCCGTATTGAAGGTAAACGTGGATTTGCCGTGTGTTTTGGAGTAAATTGTATTCACTGTTTACCTCCTGTGAGTAACATCAGCGTATCTGACAGAGCTCCTGTAGTAAAGTCGTATGTGCACCGTGGTGAAGTTAGTTTCACTCAGACGTTGGATATTCAGTTACACAGCAGAGATATTCATTGGCTGTGCCAATTTAATTCAATTTAAATGTAAGAAAAGTGAGTGAGAAACATTTTGGTGTCTACAGTTTGTCCCTGTGGGTTTGCTGTGCTCTTGTATGTGCTTCCTGTTTGTTCTGGTGTGTGACACAAATGTTTCTCCCCACAGGTCTGTGTGAGCCAAGGCCCAGTACTGGTCCAGGCCTCTGTGCCTCCAGGCCCCCAGACCCTCAGACCCCCAGACGTCGAAGTCCAGCCCCCCACCTCCAGAGCCCAGACCTACAGCACAGGACCTCACTTCTCATAGTAACACACCCACACCCACCCACCCACCCACACCCACACCCACACCCACCCACACCCACACCCACCCACACACACCCACACCCACACACACCCACACCCACACCCATACACACCCACACACACACACCCACACACACCCCCACAAACACACCCACCCACACATACACACACACATAGACACACACACACATGTCATCACCATACGCTGCTCGTATCGCGCCCCCACGGGGGCCCGCCGCTCCTGTCGCACCCACTCCTGCTGCTCCTGCCGCACCCCTGCCTTCTCCATCTTCTAGGGTTCGCCGCGTGCCGTTACTCATCTGCCTGCGACGTACTGCTCCTGTCATGCCCCCTCCCGCCGCTCCTGCCACGCCCACCCCTGCCTCTCCTGCTGCATCTCCGCCCGCTGCTTCTGCCAGGCCTCCGCGCACTGCTCCTGCCACACGCCCGCCCGCCGCTCTTGCCGCGCCCGCCGCGCCCGCTGCTCTTGCCGCACCCGCTGCTCTTGCCGCGCCCGCCGCGCCCGCTGCTCTTGCCGCGCCCGCCGCGCCCGCTGCTCTTGCCACACGCCCGCCCGCCGCTCTTGCCCGCGCCCGCTGCTCTTGCCGCCGCCCGCCGCTCTTGCCGCGCCGCTGCTCTTGCACACGCCCGCCCGCCGCTCTTGCCGCGCCCGCCGCTCTTGCCGCGCCCGCCGCTCTTGCCGCGCCCGCTGCTCTTGCCCACACGCCCGCCCGCCGCTCTTGCCGCGCCCGCCGCACCCGCTGCTCCTGCCATACGCCCACCCGCCGCTCTTGCCGCGCCCGCTGCTCCTGCCACACGCCCACCCGCCGCTCTTGCCGCGCCTGCTGCTCTTGCCGCGCCCGCCGCTCTTGCCGCGCCCGCCGCGCCCGCTGCTCTTGCCACACGCCCCGCCGCCGCCTCTTGCCGCCCCGCCGCTCTTGCCGCGCCCGCCGCTCTTGCCGCGCCCGCCGCTCTTGCCGCGCCCGCCGCTCCTGCCACACGCCCACCCGCCGCTCCTGCCGCGCCCGCTGCTTCGGTCGGCCGAGCTGCTCCTGTGAGGCGTCCAAAACCCGTCTCTGCTTCTACTGCTCAGCTTGTCCTTCCTCCTCGTGTGACCCTCACTCCTCCTCCTCCTCCTTCTCTTAAGCCTTTCCTGGAGCCTCGTCCTTTGCCCTTCTTCTCTTCTCTTGCCAGGCGCCCCAAGCCCTCTACACCTCCGCCTACTGTTTCCCTCTTTGCTGCTCCTGTCACGCACCTGCCTGCTGCTCCTGCTTTGCCTACCCCTACCTCTTCTGCTGTGTCTCTCCCTGCTCCTGCTTTGCCCCGCTCTGCTCCTCCTTCTAGGTGTCCCCGTGCCGTTCGTTGTGGGCGTTCCAGGTACAGCCCTGTTGCTCCTGCCAGGCCCCCCGCCCGCTGCTCCTCTTGTTTCTCTTCTTGCAGCTTGCAGGTCTTTCTGCTCTTGGGTTTTGTCTTTCCTGAAGCGCTAGCTCTTCCTTCTCCCTCCCTCTCCCTCCATCTCTCGCTTCTCCTTTTCTCTCTCTCCTGCTTCTCTTTCTCCCTCTGTCTTCTCTCTCTCCCTCACTCTGTCTTTTGCTCCCTTTCTCTTGTCACTCTCCTTCTTTCTCTTCCTCTCTCCCCTCTCTCTCTCCTTGTCTCCCTCCCTCTCTCTAACCCTCTTCTCCCCTCTCTCCTCTCTCTCTCTCTCTCTCTCTCTCTCTCTCTCTCCCTCTCTCTCTCTAACCCTTTCTCTCTTTCTCCCTCTCTTTAACCCCCCCTCTCTCTCTCCCTCTCTCTAACCCTCTCTCTCTCTCCATCTCTCTAACTCCCTCTCTCTCTAACCCTCTCTCTCTCTCAATCTCTCTCTCTCTCTCTCCTTCTCTCTCTAACCCTCTCTCTAACTCTCCCTCTCTCTAATCCTCTCTCTGTCTCTCCCTCTCTCTCTCTCTCTAACCGTCTCTTTCACTCTCTCTAACCCCCCCTCTCTCTCTCCTCTCTCTCTCTCTCTCTCTCTCTCTCTCTCTCTCTCTCTCTCTCTAACCCTTTCTCTCTCTCAATCTCTCTCCCTCTCTCTCCCTCTCTCTAACCCTCTCTCCCTCTCTTTCTCTCCCTCTCTCTAACCCTCTCTCTATCTCTCCCTCTCTTTCTCTCTCTCCCTCCCTCTCTCCTTCTCTCTAACCCTCTCTCTCTCTCTCTCTCTCTAACCTCTTCTCTCTCTCTCTCTCTCTCTCTCCTCTCTCTCTCTCTCTCCCTCCCTCTCTCTCCTTCCCTCTAACCCTCTCTCTGTCTCTCCCCCTCTCTCTCTCTTATCCTCTCTCTATCTCTCCCTCTCTTTCTCTCTCTCTAACCCCGCCTCTCTCTCTCTCTCTCTCTCTCCCCTCTCTCTCTCTCTCTAAACCTCTCTCTCTCTCTCTCTCTAATCCTCTCTCTATCTCTCCCTCTCTTTCTCTCTCTCTAACCCCTCTCTCTCTCTCTCCCTCTCTCTAACTCTCTCTCCTCTCTCTCTCTCTAACCTCTCTCTCCCTCTCTCTCTCTCTTCCTCTCTCTAACCCTCTCTCTTCTCTCTCTTCTCTCCTCTCTCTCTCTCTCTCTCTCTCTCTCTCTAACTCTCTCTCCGTCTCTCTCTCTCTAACCATCTCTCGCTCCCTCTCTCTCTCTGTCAATCTCCATCTCTCTAACCCTCTCTCTATCTCTCTCTCTCTCTCTCTCTCTCTCTAACCCTCTCTCTGTCTCTCCCCCCCTCTCTCTCTCTCTCTCATCCTCTCTCTCTCTCTCCCTCTCTCTAACTCTCTCTCCGTCTCTCTCTCTCTAACCATCTCTCGCTCCCTCTCTCTCTCTCTGTCAATCTCCATCTCTCTAACCCTCTCTCTATCTCTCCCTCTCTTTCTCTCTCTCCTTCTCTCTAACCCTCTCTCTGTCTCTCCCCCCCTCTCTCTCTAACCCTCTCTCTGTCTAACCCCCTCTCTCTCTCTCTGTTTCTCTCTGTTTCTTTCTTTCTTGTTTTCTTTTTCCTCCCGTCGTGTCCTGTCCTGTCGTCTCCTTTTTCCTCCCCTCCTTGAGTCGTCACCTTACCGTGGTGGTGGAGGGGTTTCGGAGCCTGAATGATCCCAGGAGCCGTGCTGCTGCTGGGGACGGCTCAGACCAAGAACGGCTCTTCTCTCCCTCTCACCTTTCTGTTCCTCCTCTCCCGGACGTGTGGATCTTCAGTTCCGCTGTGCGTAAAGGTGAACCTGTAACGGAACTTTTCTCATGTACAGAACAAGAAACGACAAAATCCGGGTCGACGTGTTTGCAGTTTGACAGAGCGCGAGAGATGAAGGGATGAAGAGCGAGAGAGAGAGACAGACCCCCTGTTGAAGACCTCTGCAATAAATTCATTCAACTGGACTTAGTGATTTTCATTCTTTATTCATTTAATGTTTCTATTTTTCACTCCTCTACACTGGACTTTTCAACAACTGTACAGTCTGAGATCAGTTTACATGAAGTCGAGTGGAATAGAATTTTATACACAGGGTTAAATACTGTGGGCTGTTTTAGACAACTTTAAACAGGACTAAACCAGGTCTAAACCAGGTCTAAACCAGGACTAAACCAGGTCTAAACCAGGTCTAAACCAGGTCTAAACCAGGTCTAAACCAGGACTAAACCAGGTCTAAACCAGGTCTAAACCAGGTCTAAACCAGGACTAAACCAGGTCTAAACCAGGTTCTAAACCAGGTCTAAACCAGGACTAAACCAGGTCTAAACCAGGACTAAACCAGGTCTAAACCAGGTCTAAACCAGGTCTAAACCAGGACTAAACCAGGTCTAAACCAGGACTAAAACCAGGTCTAAACCAGGACTAAACCAGGTCTAAACCAGGTCTAAACCAGGACTAAACCAGGTCTAAACCAGGACTAAACCAGGACTAAACCAGGACTAAACCAGGTCTAAACCAGGACTAAACCAGGACTAAACCAGGACTAAACCAGGACTAAAACCAGGTCTAAACCAGGTCTAAACCAGGACTAAACCAGGACTAAACCAGGACTAAACCAGGTCTAAACCAGGTCTAAACCAGGTCTAAACCAGGACTAAACCAGGTCTAAAACCAGGACTAAACCAGGTCTAAACCAGGACTAAACCAGGTCTAAACCAGGTCTAAACCAGGTCTAAACCAGGACTAAACCAGGTCTAAACCAGGACTAAACCAGGACTAAACCAGGTCTAAACCAGGACTAAACCAGGACTAAACCAGGACTAAACCAGGACTAAACCAGGTCTAAACCAGGACTAAACCAGGTCTAAACCAGGTCTAAACCAGGTCTAAACCAGGACTAAACCAGGACTAAACCAGGACTAAACCAGGTCTAAACCAGGACTAAACCAGGTCTAAACCAGGTCTAAACCAGGTCTAAACCAGGTCTAAACCAGGACTACAGCAGGACCAGTAAAAATACATGTTTTTACAGTAGTTTTGAGAAATAAAGACACCAGTTAGTAGTATAAACACAAGATATATTTGTTTAATACTGTGGAACATAGCAGTAGTAGTAGTTATAAGTTTAAACCCCATCCTCCTATAGCCCTGTGTGTCAGATGCCCTCCCATTCCCGTCCTCAGGTCCTTTTTTAAATCACTCATATATATATATATATATATATATACATATATATATTTTTTTCCCTCTATTTCACTGGATCTATACTTCAAGAAAGACTCTCAAGAACTTTGAATCTCAGTCAATACGACTAGTGAACTAAACCTCCCCCCCATAAAAAAGACAATATATGATCTCACAGGACTCTCAATTGTCTGTTTTGTTTTTTGCTTTGTTTATTATGTCATATCTGTCCTATTTATAATACATATATATATCCAAAGTATAAATAAGTCTATATTATATTGTTGTTATTATTATTATTATTATTATTATTATTATTATTATTATTATTATTGCCAACTTAAAAAATATAATACAATTTCTCATATTATAAACTTTAACAAGTGTCCGCTCTTCATTCACTTACCCTATGGCTCTTCAGCGAATCTACTTCTGAACAACTTAATATTGCAGTCAGACCGCCAAGCCAACTACGCGTTACAATAGACTATACAAAGTATTTATGAAATTTTCTGTTGGTTAATGATCATTACATTTCAAAAAGTCAGTGTTAAAGTCTCCGCACAGAAGATGTCCTTTTGCTGAAGTTTTGAGAAAAGTCTTTCGATACAGTCTACAAAACTATCAGTGTTTGACCCTTGCGTTCTGTAAATTGCCCAACTGTTTTAAACAATTATGAGTTACTGTGAATATACTAACAATTTAGCGTCTCAGACAGTATTTATTTACGTGTTAAAATTGAACAAAGTTGAGAGTTATTGTGAATGTGTTAAATAAAGTTTGACTGACTTATCTAACTGTTGTGTTTCGTTTAATGCACCTTATAGTCCGGTGTGATTTATATGTGAAAAAAGTCAGAAAATAGACCATTCAATGACAGTGCCCCTATAGGGCACAAAATACGGTAAGTTCCTACATTACACAAAATGGGCTCTTGTGAGGTTTAAGTCATGTTATAATCTTGTTATCTCCTCAAAAACAAACCTTGAGTTGTATTTTGTTTCATTCACACATATTTGAGTAACTTTTTATTATTAGTCTGTCTACCAATCTCCAAAGCTCAAAATGCTCTGCTCCACCGTGTGATGTCTGTGATGAAACTGTATTTTTCCCCAAATTTCTGCTGATTTTGATCAATAACATTAAACAAGAGTGCATTTTACCATTGCGTAGTTAAGAAGATCACCTCAAAACACAAGAAATGCACAAAAAAACAACCAAACAAAAACACATTCACGTTAAAAGGGGCAATTTCAAAGCTCCTGATCAAAGAAACAAATCAAAATCATTCAAAAAAGACACAAGAAACCCGGCCTCTCTTCTTTCAGTTAGGTTCAATGAGCTAAAAAAAAAGTTTCAGGTCATTCTTCACATTCTTCAAGTGTGTTATTTTTGGTTTTATCTTAAAAAAGGTGTGGGACCTGTTGCTCACGGGTTACACCACTAGAAGGCGCCTTTGGAAAAGCAAGGCAAGGCAAGTTTATTTGTATAGCATTTGTATAAAAGCAAGTTCCAGTTCAAGTCTGTGTTTAAATCTGCATTTATATTGTTGTGAAAGTCAGTTTGAAATTCCAAGTATTTTCTTACAAGGTCTAAAAGTGTAAAGAGTTTCCAAAAACATGATCTTTAAAGGACTCGTGTTACTCTATTTTCTGATCTGTGTTATAATGTTGTTTCTTCATCACAAACAGACCTGGAGTTGTGGTTTGTTTCATTCACATGCTCTTCTCTCAAACAGAAAACACTCTGTTCTACCTTGTGATGTCATGTGGTAATGAATGTTGGGGAGTAACAGATTACATGTACCGGAGTTACGTAATCAGAGTACAAATTATGAGTAACTGTATTCGGTTACAGTTACTGTTTCAGTGAGTGGTAATTGGATAAGTGGAGGTGGAGAGAGGAAGAGGAGGAGGCCGCGTAAAGAGGGTGGTTGGAGGTGTGCCTGCCAGACCAGTGAGTAACAGAAATACACAGGGAGCATGAAATCCCAGTCTTTTTCAGACATACAAACACTTTAAGACAGAAACCGGTCCACCCAAAGGACAAAATACCGAGCCACAAACAAAGCAATGTGGTCTACTCCATTCAGTGCAGTGAAGACTGCAGTGAGCGCTACACTGGAGAAACAAAACAGCCACTTCACAAGACGATGTACCAACACAGACGAGAGAGCAGCAGTGGACCTCACTCTGCTGTACATCTTCATCTAAAAGTCATGGACCTCTCCTTTGAGGATAGTGAGGTACAGATCTGTGCCAGAGAAAAGAATTGGTTTAAGTGGGGAGTGAAGGAGGCCATCTTTGTTAAAAGACAATCCATCTTTAACAGGAATGGAGGGCTCAGACACTATCTCTCTCCTATTTACAACTCCAGCCTCAAACCTAAATCAAAACAAAGAAAACAGTGTGATAGCTGGGTCAGGCTCAGAGGTGTGAAAGCTCCCATCAGGGGCCTCAATGATTCTGCTAATATTTCTCTCTCAACAAACAGAAACAGTAAACAAGTAGGTGTGATAGTTTCAGAGTAGTTTCCGTGTAGTTGGCTCCTTCAAGCAGATATAAGGAAGTGTCCACCAGCGTCTGACCAGAACTGAAGAACCAACTTGGAATAGTTGCGAAACATATTTGATCAAAAACAGCTGTTTTCTTCTTCATTATCACTCTGGCATCACAAAGGCGCCGGTTTGAGAAGTCCAGACTTCTCTTTTTACCCACACTTCTTCCAACTCCTGAGGTGTTCCCAGGCCAGCCAAGAGGCATCGTCCCTGCAGTGTGTCCTGGATCTTTCCCAGGGCCTCCTCCCAGTGGGACATGAACCCCTCCTCAGTGAGCCGTCCAGGAGGCATCAGATGCCGTCCCCTCAGCTGCTCTTCTCGACATGGAGGAGCAGCAGCTCTACTCTGAGCTCCTCCTGTATGACTGAGGTCCTCACCCTGTCTCTAAGGAAACGACACTCAATCTGTGGCGGAAACTCATTTTGACCGCTTGTATCTGCTTGTATCTGCCGTCTTGTTGTTTTGGTCAATACTCAAAGCTCATGACCATAGGTGAGAGGAGGAACATGGCCTGAGCAGTAAAGCGAGTGCTTTGAATCATTTTTAATAATTTACAAACATAAAATAATTCAATAGACATCAGTGATATAATCTATTAGGCTCCATATATTTTGGTCAGTGCATATGGCATATACTGTATATATGGCTTGCTTTTTAGTTATGTTTTTATAGTCTTTAGCCATATATAATTATTTTATATTGATCCAAAGCAATATTTTTGAGTTATAAATTAATCTACAAATAACACAAAAAAAAGATGACATACAACACTTCATATCACTTTAACCGTGTCATGCAGTACCAGATCCAGTGGCAGGTGGCGCTTGTGGACTCTGGGAAGATTGACTGTGGAGGAGCGTACATCGGAGGCTGCTGGGTCCTCACGGCCGCTCACTGTGTCAGGTATAAATATAACCTAGAGTGAATGAACAACATGTAGTATTTATTTGATTCATTTATATCTGTTATTATAGTAATGTTTATGTATTCCTTACAGGCCAAACCCCTCTGCGTTTATGGTGAAGTTCTCTTTGTGGAAGAAGAACAGAGCTCAAAACACAACTGACATCGTCCCAGTGCAAGACATCCACATCCACCCACTGTAAATACATTCAATTCATGTTTTTTTTTTTTTTACTCCTGATGCCCTACCTTAAAGGGCCCATATTATGCTAACGTGTGAATGAAACAAAACACAACTCCAGGTCTGTTTTTGTTCAATAGAATCTTATCACCGCAAAGTGTGATTTGATTGAATAATGCATGAAACTGAAAAGCAATTTTGAGTGTCTGGAAAAGCACATATTAGACTAAAGTATTATCAATGCATTATAAACCTTTTTTATTTATCCAAACATGTGACTCTAATAATTAAGCGAAAATTGGCAAATAATGACATAAAATGCAGGTCCAGTTCTTTTTTTTTTTTTTTTTTACACCTGATGCCCTATATTAATGGTGCATTGTGTACCTTTTCGAGTAAAGGGTTGGCTACCTGCTTGTCTTGATGAAGATGGTATTAATTTGTCTGAAATATTCCACAGTGTGGCATTAAACTTGTCCATCTACCATTCTTTGATTATGGGTGTTTTTATTGCTTAAAGAACATGCATACCTACAGTCAGCAGTCCCTCCTCTGACTGGTATCTTGGTCTTGTGGCATCTCCTGCTTGTTTCCATGGAGATACTTAAGTTTAATACCATACTGTGAAACATTCCAAGTAATTATTAAAATGTAGGCTGACCCTGCACCAGGAAAGTGATATAGTGCACCTTTAACAATATATCCTTTTCCATTTATCCAGACATGGGACTGGCAAAAAGAGTAAACTGGCCTCTTAGCTCTTGTAACTACATTAAGTTTAATAAGTCAGTGAGTTTTAGGTGACGCATATGCAGGTCCGGTTCAATTCAATCTCCAGCACAAGCGGATATGCATAAAGAATACACAAGAAGCTTTATTTGAACACTTTAATGGGATGAGATAATTGCACAAAACTACACAGTTATCTTAAAGGTTGAGTCTGGATGAATTTGTAGTAAATTTAAATGATATAATGGCCCATGAAAAAAACAACATATCGGTTGATCTTTAGTTTGCAGCCCTTCCACGGTCACAAGCGGGGAAACGGTCAGCAGGAAGCTTGATGACCTACAAAAATGAGTCTGAGGAAATGAGCAGTCTAACATGTCATATGCAGTTTAACCTCCTCTTCTTTAGTTACAACGGTAAAACCTACGAGAACGACATCGCTCTGGTGGAGTTGCAGAAGCTCCCGTTTAAAGAGAGGTGTTTCAGAGAGAACCCGGCGGTGCGCTCCGTGTGTGTGCCCTGGACCCCTCACCTGTTCCAGCCCAACCACACCTGCAGCATCTCAGGCTGGGGCCGCACCGCAGGTACCACACACAAGACGACACACCGGAGATAAAGGATTTTTGCATTTTTAAGCTTTATTTATTTTCTCTTGGTCAAAAATGCAGAATAAGATGCTTTACACAACAGAATCTCCAAACACCCTCAGGAGGCATTTGGTGTGATACCAAGTAATACTTAAAGTATCGAACAATCCCAAAACCTGACTTTTGAGCAGGGATGCCTCTTAACAGATCTGACTTGTAACTCTATGGTGAGTATGTATATATGTATATCTAAATATCTGTATTTTTCCAGAGGGTAAAGCGGCTAGGGTCCTGCTATGGGCGAATGTCTCCCTGATTCCTAATTGTGAGCAGCATTATAAAGATCGCTTCAAAGCAGGAATGATGTGTGCAGGTGAGACCATTTTGAAAATCCTTAAATATCTATGTCAAACAGAAGCAGAACAAAACTTAGGACCTGTATCTGATCTTTTAATGACAGTCTGAACGACACAGATCAGATTTTTTCAAATGTGACCCAGACTACTTGGATATGTGCTCCTGAAACCGACACATATCTGATCTTCTGACATGCGACTGTATTCTGTATTCTGCTGTATTCAGGCCAATCTGGAGGGGCCTTATTGGAACTGGGCAGTTTTTTAAATGATTGCCAAAGAAATGGCCAAGCACAACTACAGGCGGCCTGGCTCCAATGTCAACAAAAAATAAAGAGCCTAAACACTCAGGCACACAAAGCGGCCATGGACGTGTAACCTGTCCATTTTACAAAGAACTGGACTGTATTTTGGGAGACTTGCCCAACGTTTAGGCTACTTCTGTAGCAATGCTCGCTCTCGCTTCTGGGGCATTTAAAGTTCACCCTGGAGATCACATACAAATCATGTTTAATTGGAAATGAGAACGACCCCCCCCCCCAAAAAAAAAAAAAAAAAATAAATCTGAACTTAAGCATTAAGCCCTTCAGTCTGAATGTAGCCTTAGATAGAGCATTATAACACGGTTACAAGCGCAAAAAAGTTCAGTACTGAATGATGGAATGAAGATGGAACCCAGTTTTGCCCAAAATGGTCTCTTAAAGGGCCAGTATTATGCTATTTTCTGATCTGTGTTTTGCCCTTATATCTATGATGATGGTGATGTCATATGGTAATACTTTATGTACCAGACTAATATGGATCATTTTAGACACACTAATAGTAAAAGAAATATTTGTGAATGAAACAAAACACAACTCCAGGTATATGTTTGAGGAGGTAACAGCATTCTAACATGGCTTAAAGCTCACAAGAGTCAGCTTTGTGTAATATAGGACATGTTTAAACTGTTTGTTGTCACAGGGGATTTGAATGGCTCTGTGGACTCGTGCCAGGGGGACAGTGGGGGGCCCCTGGTGTGTGAAGATGAGCTGGGCGTGTCCTACCTGTGGGGCATTGTGAGCTGGGGAGACAAGTGTGGCGAGCCGGGCTTCCCTGGAGTCTACACACTGGTAAAAGGACGGAGCAGTGGAAATTGCTTGTCAAAAGTTTCTGCCTGGGACTGTTTAAAGATTTTTATTGGAGGCTCCACCACCTGCTTGTCTTCATGGAGGTGTTATTGTTTTGTCTAGAATGTTCCACAGTATAGATTAAACCTGTCTGTCAGGAAGGAGACAAGCAGGTTACAGCACTACGCTACATTACAGGTCAGATCTGTGGAGCATCGCCCCTATTCACAGAAAGAGTGATTGTATTTTGGAGCAATAGAAACACATGCAATAATAAATGTTAGCTGTGTATGTTTAATGTCATACCAAGGAACATTCCAGGCAAAGCAGTAACATCCATGGAGACAAGCAGGTAGTGGATCCTCCATCAGAAAAGTGACGCAGTGCACCTTTAAGCATCAGGTTAATTTGTTTTGGGTCTAATGGAGCTTTATAAACTTTATAACATAATAATAAGTAGATTTAATGTTCAGTTCTGCTTTAATACCGGTGGAGGGCATATAAAAGTCATAATTATGAGTTTTAAAGTTGACTTTGAATCTGCCCTTGCCATACAGGCACATGGGTATTTTTCCTGGAGAAGCCATCCTCTGGAGAGTTCAGGACAGCTTCACATTCTCCACAAAGCTTCATTTGCTTGTTAATGAAGTGAATGATGTAAAAAGACAAAAATGAAAGAGATATCCACACAAATCCCATATGAATGACTATGTGCAAAGTGTCCATCTCTGTTAACTGAAAACTGTGACATTTTGATGCTATGTGAAGTGAATTAGCAGCAACTACCACCGCGGCAGCTGTGCCCAATGCAATAATACAGTAAAAACTGACCACTTTTTTACACCCTCACACTGGTAAGAAATATGCCATAAAAAGTGTCATCACATGTGCATCTACACATGTGCTCTACATGTTGAAATGTCCATGCGGCCAAGCTTATATTGGCAAGACCACAAGAAAACTCAAACAAAGAATAAGTGAGCACAAGATCTCCATCAGAAGGAAAGACCGGGACTATCCAATAGCAGTACACTTTAATGATCAGAGACACGATATTAGTTCTTTCCGTTTCTGTGGCATTGAGCATGTCCTCCCTCCAATCAGCTCAGAGGAGGGGACCTTGACCGGACACCTAAACAATGGGAAGCATTTTGGATTCATACTCTCCAAACTTTAGCTCCAAAAGGACTCGATGATGATTTCAATCTTAGCATTTTTTTTGTAGGCATTTGTTATATCATGAAGTCTCTCTCGTTTTGGGTGAGCTATATTTTAAGATCCATTGATATATATATTATATATATATATATATATATATATATATATATATATATATATATATATATATATATATATATATATATATATATATATATATATATATATATATATATATATATATATATATACATATATATATATATATACATATATAGATGTGTATATGGCACGACAGCATTATTTTATAGTTGGGTGAATATACACTATGTCTATATGTATCCAGATATTCTTCTTATTTTTCTATTATTATTCAATGATTTTTCTACTAATGATTAATATTCCATTATTATTATCATTATACTGTATGTTGATTGTCTTTGTTTTTTGAATTATGGGATTTTGGTACACTGTTTCTTTATGACCTGTCACCCTTGGGTGCTTGCCACACCCTATTTAAGATGTCCACCTGAGCTTTCATTCTGTTTGCTTGACGAAGGCCTAGTGCTGAAACGTTGCACCGTTTGTCCTGATAAATCTCACAATTTACAAATAAGAGTGTGTGAGATTTTTCTCTGTGTTCTTGGGCTGCTCCCTCTCCTCCAATGCACACATTTCTAGTAATTGATGTGCAAAGTTCAAATTTTTTTCTGAAGTGAATTAGTAAAATAACTAACATTTTCCTTGTATTGGGTTTATACATTGCTTCTCCAGAAAAGTGGTCAAGTGGTCGTACCAGCCCGTCTACTTACATGGCAGGTTCAGAGTCAGTTTAAAAAACTCCTAATTATGACTTGAAAATGTATAATTATGAGTTTTTAAACACATAATTTTATCTTCTTGTGAGGCTTTTAGTTTTTATTTTTTGGCAGAAATGGGCTTCCATGATGTCTGTTAAAGTATCAATAGTGAGTTCTTGGTTCTAGTCATTAACATAAACTGCTGTTTTTGTTCTTGTTTCCAGGTGGCTCATTTCTACGAGTGGATCCGAATTCACACTGGATGGCCGCTTGTCACACAATATAATTCTTAGTCCTCATGTTTACATTTTTCCAACATTGTACGACACCAAATAAAATAGAACTGGTTAAAAAAAAAAGGTTTTACTTGTTTGTGTATTGGGTAGAATAATAATTTCACAATGTGTCTTGATATTTTCTGTTTTACCTCAATGGAGAAATGTGGAGCAGAATTTAATCCTACTTGTCCTCGTGCTCTTTAAGGTTTTAGAGTCAAAGATGAGCGATCACTCAAGCAAGCAGTGAATTGGTTATTAAATGTTTCAGTAATCCTTTATTATTAGTCTGTCTAGATCTCCAAAGCTCAAGATGTTCTGATCCACCTTGTGATGTCATTTGGTAGTAGTTTAGTAAGATGTAATTTCTTAATTTCATTAAAAAAAAAAACTAAAAAAAACACTGAATATAAAAAGCTTTCAATCAAATCATTTTATTTATATGAAACTCTGTAACATAAGAAATCTGTCCCAACCCCACATTCAAAGATACAATTTTAACATAATACTTCTGAATCTTAAAATTACAGAGACACATCATAACATAAAGTAACTCAGATTTGGATGCTCTAAACTTATTTATTTCCATGGCGACAAGCAACTTGGCCAACTTACAGGTCAGATCTGTGGAGAGATGAGCCCACTCACAGAAAGATTGCATGTTTCTCAAGGGATTTTTGAGCTAAAGATACAAATGCAGTGCTAGGTAAATATGTTTAATGGCATACTGTGGAACATTTTAGTCAAAGCAAAAACAACAGCAACAGCATTCATGATTTACACATGTGAAATAAACAAAAAACAAAGAGTTGTGTTTAATTAATTAACAAATTTATACATTATTAAAAACTAGTGTTGTCATGATAATACTAAGGAATAGACTTGATACTCAATACCAATTCCAATACCACAATGATAATAAAAACACTCTTCTTTAGGCAATTGAATGCCATTTTCAACATTAAATGTAGTAGTAGTAGTACTTTTTCTATTCCCATGTACTACTAGCTTTTGTATCGACTAAATGGTCACATTTTTACACAGCACTTTTCCATCTTCAGGGCACCCAAAGTGTTTTACAACACAGAACCACTCACCCATTCACACGCATGAACACAGGAGCCCACACATCACAATATAATATAATAACAAAGAGCAAAAAGTATAAATGGAAAAAGCAAGAGACAGCTAAAACATAATTATTTAAATGTAAATGTACAAGTCAAAATAAAATAAGTAATCAAATATACAATCTTAGCTATATACAAGAGGTCAAAGGAAGACAGTACAACAATGTTATGATGATTGACAGGATGTAGGGAGTATTATCTGTTACATAAGGGTGAGTTGTTGTACAGTTGTAGGGAGTATTATCTGTTACATAAAGGTGAGTTGTTGTACATCTGTATGGAGTATGGTATGACTGTAATCCTGTTGTACTGCCGATTAGTATCAGATTTTTATGGTAGCCCATCTCCGTCAGTAAATAAAAAATAAAAGCCTCACAGAAAGTCATAACTATGACTTTTTATACTTTTAAAACAAAAAATATAAAAAAAATTCTGACTTTCTGTGAGGGTTTTTTAAAATTTACTGGTGGAAATGTGCTTCCATAAATTTTCAATTAAAAACTCCTTGAAGGGCCCATCTCATGTAAATAACTCTTTTCACATTGTATCTTCTGCACATATACAAACACAATACTGGTTTCTTGGAGAAAGTCACAGACCAGGAACTATGAAAGGCCGACTATTGCTCTCCCCCCGCCCGTCCTGAGAAAGCACAGGCTCCGCCCTCCAAACGTTGACGTAGGCGACGAGTGAGCCGCCCTTCCTCCGCCCATCTCAGGAGGGAGGGGGAGACAGACGTGCACCCTGATAGTGGTAGAAATAAACTTTTATTCATCATGGAGATACAGCGCGTTTCAGCCGCATGTGTTGGACCCGGAATCAGACGAGGACTTTGAGGAGCACGAAGCTCAAGCACCACGTCCACATCAGCTGAACATTACTGATTGGTAAAGTTTTAATAAACACTAGTAGATCAACTTATTATATTGCGTACACTGCAGTGTAGAACAATACACTGAGGGGGGC